ATTACACACAAATTCCTCAGTAACCTCCCCTGTTGGAACTGGATCTGTTTGGTAGAAACTTTTACCAGGAATCCATTCATCCTTCCAAATCTGTATTGATTCTCCATTGCCAACTCTCCATCTAAACCCTTCCTCAATTTTCTCCTTCGCTCCCATAATGCTTCTCTATATGTAGCTCGGCTGGAAGCCTAGTTTTGCCTGCAGAATATCCGTTTTAGGAAAATATCGAGCCTTTAAAACTCTTGCCATAAGGGACTGGGGTCTCTTGAGTATATTCCATATTTGTTTGCCCAACATCGCATAATTGAAAGTTCTCAGATCACGAAAACCCAAACCTCCCTCCTCTTTGTCATCACAAAGATCATCCCAATCCAACCAATGAATCTTAAATTCTTTGCCTTTCTGCCCCCACCAGAAGTTCGATATCATTCTTTGGATTTCATTCAGTGTGCCTTCAGGGATAAGAAAAACTGACATAGGGTAAAGACATTGGGCCTGGGCAATCGCTTTAATTAAGATCTCCTTGCCCGCAGCTGATAAAGTTCTACCCTTCCAATCCTTTAGCTTTTTCCGAACTCTCTCCTTCACCTCATCAAAGATAGCCTTCTTCGACCTCCCAACAACAGTAGGCAGGCCTAGATACTTCGGGAATTTATCCACTTCTCTGATGCCTAAGGTTCCATAGAATTTCCAGCCTCCTACTAACTCTGACATTCTTACTGAAAGAGAGATCAGATTTAGAGAAATTCACCAACTGACCAGATTCCTCAGCATAGATTCTCAGGATTTCCTTCAGCTTATCACATTCCTTTAGGGCAGCTTTTCCAAATATAACACAGTCATCCGCAAATAAGAGGTGTGAGATAGTTGGAGCTTTCCTCCTTATTTGAATCCCATGTAGACTACCCTCCTTTTCAGCATCCTTGATAAGAGCCGTTAAACCTTCAGCACACAGCAAAAATAAGTAGGGAGACAGAGGGCCACCCTGTCTTAGACCCCTTGAGGGAGAAAAGGTTTGAGATTTATGTCCATTCACAAGGATGGAGTATGAAACAGTGGTAACACACTTCATGGTTAAACCAACCCATCTATCGTCAAAACCAAGTTTCTTCATTACCTTCTCCAAGAACTCCCATTCCACCCGATCATAAGCCTTAGCCATGTCAAGTTTTGCTGCAAAAAATCCTTCTTTAGCCTTCTCCCTTTTCTTCATGAACTGGAAACATTCAAAAGCAACAATAACATTATCCGTGATAGAACGTCCAGGGACAAAAGCACTTTGTTCTTCAGAAATAACCACATCCAACAATAGTTTAAGTCTATTGGCCAGGACTTTGGAAATAATTTTATAGATCACTCTGCACAAACTGATAGGTCTAAAATCTCTTGCAGTTATAGGGGTTTTCACCTTCGGTATTAGAGCAATGAGAGTATGATTCAGCTCTGTAGGGAGATCACCACAATCAAAGAATTTCTTCACAGTCTCAATCACCTTAAACCCCACAGCATTCCAGTTCTTTTGGTAAAAGCCTGCAGAGAAACCATCCGAACCAGGGCTCTTAGTGGGGCCCATCTGGAAAATAGCTTCTTTAATCTCCTCATCTCTTAGCGGTTTAAGAAGGGCCTCATTCATGTCAGGAGTAACTCTCCTTTCTAATGCATTAATCACAAACAAAGAATCAGTGGCATTACCTCTTCTGAAGAGGGATTTATAGAAGTCATTTATGCACATAGTAACCTCCCTCTGCCCTTTGAAAATCCTCCCATTCTCATCCCGAAGCATTTTGATAGTATTCCTTTTCCTTCTGGCAGTAGCCTTAGCATGGAAGTATTTTGTGTTCTTGTCACCCCCTTTCATCCAGTCAGCCCTAGACCTTTGTTTCCACAATTCTTCCTCCTGCATAATCAGATCGCTTCTCTCAGCTTCCAGGGCTCTTCTTTGCTCGAGAAGAGCTTCAGTTTTAGGCTTGTAAGTGAGGGTCTTAAGAAGCTTCTCAATCCTTTCAATCTTCCTCCTCAGATCACCAAATTTTCTTTTACTCCAATTCAGAAGATCAGATCTGCATTTTGTAAGGATAGTCTGTATATTCTCGTTTGCATTTTCTCTGCAGGCCCTGTTAACAATAGCAGCACTTTCAGGATCCTTAAGCCAAAATGGTTCCACGCGAAAGTACCAGCCCCATTTAATCTCTTCTTCTTCTTTTCCAGCAGTATAAAGGAGAATAGGACAATGGTCCGAGCCACTTCTTTCAATATGAACAACCTGGTGGTTCGGAAAGCTGGTTTGCCATTCCCAACTTGCAACACACCTGTCAAGTCTTTCTTCTATAAAGCCTTCATTCGCTCTGCTGTTCTCCCAAGTGAAAGGATAACCGATAAAACCACAATCCATCAAACCACAGTACTCTAGGGTTTCTCTAAATTCCATAGCCTGACTTTCGTTGATAGGTCTTCCCCCTCTCTTTCCATTTCCAGAGAGAACTTGATTGAAGTCTCCAATGCAAACCCAAGGGAGGTTGCAACCATTTTTGAGCCCTCTAAGGAGGTCCCAAGACCTGAACCTTTCATCCCTCTCCGCCCATCCATAGAAACCAGTGAGTCTCCATTTAGACCCCCCTCCTCATTACTGACCAAGACATCAATGTGATGAAGAGTAGCAGAGACTTTCACAATCCTAACCTCCTCAGTCCACAGAAGACACAATCCTCCTGCCTTCCATCCTTTGTCATTCCTAGCTGTCACACCACAACCACCATAGAAACCAAGTTCTCTTTGAACATCTTGCCACCCCTTCTCATCTTTCCTTTTTTCCATAAGGAAAAGGATATCTGGTTGTTGCTTCTGGACCAGCTTTCTCATTTTTGCAACTGCCGAGGAGCTGCCCAATCCTCGACAGTTGTAGCTTAGGACTTTCATTGGGCTCGGCGGCCTTGCTCCTTGGCAAGGTCCGCCACTTCGCCATCCACAAAAGTATTTAGAGCAGGTTTGGAGCGTTTATCCCCAAGAGGTAGTTCATCAATGTCCATATCATCTGGATAACTTCTTTTGCCCATGTCAATCTTCTCTGATTTCCGGTCTTGGGTATTCCTGTTTTTCCTATCCACCCTTTGCCATTTCCTTACACCTTTATTATTCTGTTCTGTTCGTCCTGGGATATCATCAGTGACTTTCCCATCATCTGTGTCTTTATCTTCATCTCTCTCCCCTTCTTTCTCCACTTCGATAACATTCGTCTTCTCTATATATGTCAAGGGAGTGATCGGCTGCTGGAGACCCACACCATCCTCAGATTTCTTTTCTTCAGAATCTTTCTCCTCTCCATTACCATTCACATTTATCCCCTGGATGCTTATGGTCAGTTCCTCTGTTTGCTTTTCGCCTGGTTTGTCCAGTAATTTCGGTTGTTGATTCATATTTTTCTCGGTCTGAACTTCCTCCCACAACCTGGCCAATTTTAGTGTTTTTCCTTTCTCTTTCAACGGAACCTTCTTGAGGGGTGACTCGGCTCTCAGCCAAGGTCCGTATGGATCTTCTTTCTCCTGATCATCAGTTTGAGAAGTAGGACATCCCTTCTTAAGATGACCGATAGTACCACACCTGAAGCAGTAGATAGGCATCCTCTCGTATCCCACTCGAAAAGATATTGGTCCATCCTTAGTCTGCATCTTCACTACCCTTCTCAGAGGCTTCTTGACATTTAGAGAGACCCTGATTCTCATGTAATCACTGTTAACTCCAGAATGTAACTCGTCCCAGCGAACAAAGCTTCCAAACATTGATCCTACCTTCTCAGCCATTTGAAGATTCCTCATATTTAATGGAAGCTTTCTGATCCGAACCCAAAAATCAGTACAAGAGAAGTCCAATTTTGACAGATCCATATCAGGAGGAACTTCCTTGAAAATTAGAAGTTGTCGTTCCAGATGCCACGGGCCTCCAAAAAGCACTTTGTTCTTATCATCATAGCAGTAGAGTTGGACACTCAACAGATCATCTTTTGTTATCTGTAGGTCAAAGTCCCGCTTCAGTTTCCAGGCTTCACTAAGGATTCTCTTCAGAATACGCCCCGACGGGAGCGCTCCTTTGATGACTTTTCCAGCAAGGCCAAGCTCTTTAATCACTTCCTCGACCCCTTCAGTAGCGACCATTTCTTCAAGAGTAATGACCGCTTCCTCCTCCTCTGTAAGATCGATACCAGATAACTGTTTAGCTAATTCAGTATCCATTATTGCAGTAACCAGAGATCCCAAGGCCAAGGAGCAGCCGCAAACCCCCTGGAAAACCAACAGTCAGAACCACCAAACTTCAACAGGAGACAGACACCACCTTGAGACAGAAAGCAGGAAGTACAGAGTGAGGGGAAAACATGAGAAGGTCAGGGAAGGAAAAAGACAGAAGAGGAGGAAGAAACTCCAGGACGGTTGGAATATGAAACGTCACACCACCCCTACAAGTGAGAAGACGAACAGAGCTCTCCAGATCGTAGATTTTGGGGTTTGATGAAAAGAGAGGAAAGGAGACAAATCGAAAACCCTGGAATTAGGACGTGTTCGGCATCCGAAATATTTGTATTTTATTTTTTAATTAATTAAAATTAATATATCCATGTGGCACTGATTTTTTGCCACATCATCATTCATTTGTCATGTCAGAGTCAACTAACGGCCGGAAAATTGACGGTTGTACTATTAAATTATTTTTAAAAAAATTTGAGAATCATATTATTTAAAACAAAAGATTTGATTATATTGTATATACCCTTCTACTTTTGTTCTTGTTTTGTTCTCTATTTCTGTAATTTTCGTAACCCAATTTGATTAGTTGGGTCGGTTTTGTTTTTCGCGAAAACCCCACCGAAGTGTTAAAAATAAGATAATGAGCCCAAAAACGAACATTAGGCCGGCCCATAAAAATTGCCACGCCTGTGCCACGTGCCGCCATCCGCCCTTGCGTTTCAAAACAAACGGTTAAGCTCTCTAGAACTTCTGCGCCATCCCAGCTGTCTGTCAATTACATCGAAGCAAAAAAGAAAGAAACAAAAAAAATTGTTCGAACGTTGAATGCGAAGGTAATTTAGTCTCCGGCGGCGATGGCGATACGGCTCGACTGGCTGCTCGGAGTAGCGTGGGTTGCCGGAACTCTGCCGATACTCCTCGCTTCACTGCCCTTCTCTCGACTGAACCCCATCCACCAACTCTTGCTGGGTTTCGCTAAAAGGGGCAAAACCCTGAAGTCGTCTTCCAAGGTAATGGCAGCACCACTCCTCCTCCCTTTCCCTCACTCCGATTTTCTCTTTTTACCTTGTAATTGAAGTGGGTTCTGCTCTGTTTACCTCAGAAGTGGACGGTTCCCCAGAGATTTTTCCTGCACTTTTACTGGTTTGGTGTGGCGTGGACTAGTTTCTTGCTGGTGATTACTTGGAACTACGCGTCCAAGACGGCTCCGTTGGTACCCGACCCGTTGGACTACTCGTCGGCGGCGGCTCACCTGACCGGGGGCGGCTCGCGATTGTTCTCTTGGCACAAGTCCCATTCGGGGACCGCAAAGCACAGGTACAAGGTCTGGGTGTCGGTGTTCTTGCTGTTGCTGATGGAGACTCATGTGTTGAGGCGGCTTTACGAGACCATTTATGTCCTCAACTACAGCCCCTCGGCTCGAATGCACATTCTGGGCTATCTCACTGGTCTCTTGTGAGTTCCATTCCATTACATTCCATTACATTCCATTCCATTCATTCTCCATTAACATAACGAATGTATCCTTGATCCCATTTTCTTGAATTTGCTTCTTCCATATTCACACTGAATGTTTCTTTCTTTGCTGCCTGTTGGGTTGTGGTGGAATTTCAACAGTTTCTATGCTGCGGCTCCGCTCTCGCTCTGCCACTTTTGTGCATTCAAGGCTCTCAACTTCGCTGTTGATGAAGTGGTGGTGGAGCTCAATGCTAAAACCCAACAGGACCCATCTTTTGCTGCAATCGGCGGCGACAACACGGATTGGAAGGGATTTGTGAAGCCGATGTTGAAGCTGGGATGGTGTCAGTGGACTGGTGCTGCCCTTTTCGCCTGGGGATGGGTTCATCAGCTTCGCTGCCATAAAATCCTGGTTAGGCTTTCTCCTCCCTCCTTCAGTTGTCCATAATTAGCAACTCAAATGGCTCATTTCATTCCATTACTCACTTCCTTTGTTTCTCGACGTATGTATATTATAAGGGATCATTGAGAAGGAGGGACAGAGAACAAAGGGAAGAGTATGCGATTCCTCGTGGGGATTGGTTTGAATTGGTGTCAAGCCCCCACTACACTGCTGAGATGCTAATCTACGCAGGGCTCTTGATTGCGAGCGGGGCTACTGACTACATCATGTGGTTGCTTCTTCTGTTCGTGGTGAGTTGGGCTTCTCCGTGGAAACTCGTATGGTTTTGATGTGAGTTCGATCTCTCAACATCAATATTTTGCAGGTGGCTAATCTTGGATTTGCAGCAGCAGAGACGCAGAGGTGGTACTTGCACAAGTTTGAGGCTTACCCTCGCAATAGGCGAGCTTTTCTTCCATTTGTATACTAGACTGTACCATGATGATTTTTCTCTCTAGTCTCTTTTTCGTAGATCGTACATATACACAGACGGGGTTTGTCCTGCCAGATTCAGAGATTGCAAAAGAAAAATTCATCTGTGTTTTTGTCATAAATGTGTTAAGCCTTCTCTGTATACTGACTGTTGCCTTTTATACATCTGACCAAATTACCACTACAGTATCTATACTACAAATTATATAAACTACTCTGGTTACATTAAAAATTACACTTTAAATCCTACTTACATTAATACCCTTCAATGAGACGGGTTTGCCTAAAGTCCTAAACCTTTTCTATTCATACTTTCAAATATCCAAATTCGTACTTGCATCATCCAATACGGGAAGGTTTAGAAAACCCATCCCCATACCCATGGGTTTCGGGTACACATGATACTCGCTCCATACATCCAACATCATAAACATAAGATTTTACATGTAAATTTTCAATTATAACGCTAAATAGACCTACTATAAGTCAATAAAGATACATTCTTGATATAGTTCAAATTGTATGATCCTAAAACATCTATTAATCAACAAGATTGAATGTAATATTTTTAAATCATTAGTTTCTAACTCTGATACATCTACTAAGTAATACTTAACTAACATAGTTTTCTTGTTAACAAGAGGAAAAAGTGAAAGAATGAAAAGAGAACGGTCGTAAAGGAATTAGATTTGGATTTGAGTGGCCACTCAATTGCATTTCTATTATATATTGTCTTAAGTTATCTTCATTATCATTGATAGATTTCAATTTTATCCATGTAATTTTTATATGTGAAGATATATTTTTGATGGGTCGGGTATGGATCTAGGTATGGGGCGGGAGAGGCCAAAACCATAGCCGCCCCATACCCATCAAACTTTTTGCGGGTTTTACCTATACCCGCCGCATATCGAATCAATGCGGGGATTCCGCTCATTGACTGAGTTGGGGCGAGGGAGGCTAAAACCATACTCGCCGCATACCCAATCAATGCGGGGATTTCCCGCATTAACTGGGTCGGGGGCGGTCAGGTACCTGCGATCATTGGTTTGATTGCCATTCCTAACTGGAGCATGTATATCACACATGCCCGGCTTGGTATTAAGCTCCTGAAACCTATTTATTGGCAGGGATTTGGTCAATATGTCTGTGATTTGATTATTAGTGCTGATGTGGAAGACTTTGAGCAGGTTGTTAGCTATATTCTCTCGAATTAGGTGACAATCTATCAGGAAGTGCTTCGTTCTTTCATGTGCAACTAGATTTTATGGAATACAAATTGCAGAAGTGTTATCACAATATAAAGAGAAGGTAAACAAACAAGACAAAAAGACCCATTTATAACCTATAGCCTTTTCACCATAAGCAAGAGAAGCAAACTGCCAAGTATTAGTGGCATCCAAGGCATTCAGCTTTATAGCTGCAACACATCTAGGATCATGAATTACTTCTTCATAAGAAGAAGGTTCAACTTCTTTTGTAATATTCATAAAAAAAAAAGATTTTGTAAGACAAGGATAAAGAATCATAAGAAACTGTATCAGAAATAGGATACTTAATTTTAGATTATGTAGCCTGAACAGAATTGCAGACATAGTCATTTAAACGGACTAGCTACTTTTTCCGTCTAATAGGCCTGCAAGTGTCAGCTGGTTCATTAATCTCGTTTATTTGAGGCTGATTTAAGATAGGTGGTACTAATGAAGGTTCAGGTACCACCATAGGGGGTGGAGGAATAGATAGTTGTGAAGGAAGAGGCTGTTCTGTGATGATGTCAAGGTTAGGAAAGTAAATCTCAGAATCCGAAAGAGAAGAAATAGTTTTATATAGAATGATGTGTTCATGAAAAATCACATCCCTAGACCCGAAAAACTATTTGTATTAAGATTTAGGAGCTTACAACCCTTAGTACCAAAGGGATAACCTAGAAAAAAACAAGGGGTTGCTCTAGTTTCAAACTTTAGCCTATTGTGGCTTAGTGTACTAGCTAGAGGTGGCAATTAGGATCCAAATCCAATCCATCCACCTAATCCAATCCATTTAAATCCAATCCATTTGATCCAAATCCAATTGGATTGGTGGATTCATGGATCAATCCATGGATCCAAATGACAAATTACGATTTGGTACCTATACTTTTATATTTTACATTTTGGTACCTAAAATTTACAGTTTGATACGAAAATATCATTGGAAAGTTACATTTTGGTACCTAAAAATTTTCATTATGACATTTTAGTACCAAAACTTTTCAAATTTTACATTTTGGTCCAAGCCTTGAATGTCATTTGGATTCATGGATCAATCCACCAATCCATTTGATCTAATCCATGAATCCACCAATCCATTGGATCCAATCCATTTGATCCATGGATCCACCAATCCAATCCACGAATCTGATCCAATTGCTACCTCTAGTACTACTATAGGTGTCAAAACATAGCTCGACCCGATTAACCCGCCCGATCAACCCGATCCGCAACCCGACCGCAACCCGAATTGACTAAAAGTCAACAACCCGTAACCCGCCCCACCCGCAACCCGATTGACCCGCAACCCAACTAACCCGCAACCCGACTGACCCGCAACCCGATTAACCCGAACCCGATTGACCCACAACCAGACTGACCCGCAACCCGATTAACCCGAACCCGATTGACCCGAACCTGACTAACCCGTAACCCGACCGACTCAACCCGAATTTCATCTAATCCACTTGAATAATTATAAAAATATACAATACATAGTTTTTCAAAATAAAGTTTTTCATTTTTTTTTTTTTGACAAAAGGTAATCATATATTAGATCAAACAGATAGTTACATCCTGGAGAGCAGCCAGGTCTGAAAATCAAAGTGACGGTACATAGCCGGGTACAGAGAGAGGGCCTTACGAGCCACTAAATGGGCTACCCTATTGGCACGCCGACCTATAAACCGAACAGAAAACCCTTGATGGCAGGATAAATAATGCACCACTTCCTCCAAGATTGCCCCAATTTTGCCATCGCTAACATTCCTCAGCCGGATCTTCTCAATGACAACCTTGGCATCCCCCTCGAAACGCACACAAGGGAGCCCCAGATCCATGCACCAGCGAATCACAGCCCGTAACACCAGAAGTTCAACCACCAGAGGATCATCAATGATAGGGAAACAGATCCCAGCAGCCATTATGAGATCCCGGGTTGGAGTCATTAGAACCACTCCTCCTGCAGAATGCGAACCACTCCGAACCGCCCCATCCCAACCACAAATCACCCCCGGCACCTCACCTTGGTTCAACGGATGCACCTCCTCCGCGTACTGGGTCGCAGTCCTATCCACCGGGAGGCTTACCAATTCCTCATACTGCTGAGTAAACTGGCGCATCAACACCTCCACTGTAAATTGCTTCCCTTCAAACACTACCCAATTACGCGACCGCCAAATACGCCAGAGGACAGCTACTATGGCCATGAACACCGCAGGACTCTGGATGAGGTTCATAACCTTCTTCAGAAACAGGGGAAAAGAGTGCCGCGGCAACCCTTCCCCGATATGTTCTAGCCCCGCAGCACCCCAAAGGGCTCTAGCTATCTGGCAATCCAAAAATAAGTGCTCCATAGTCTCCTCTTCCTCCCAGCATATCGGGCAACGAGGATGAACCCCCACCTTTCTTTCCCGTAAGGCCTCTGTAGTAGGCAGGACTCGACGGAAAATCAGCCAGAGAAACACCTTTAATTTCGGCTGAATATTAGCCCCCCAAAGGCGGATCCAGCTTTGACGATCCATCCAATCTACCCCCGCCCTCCAGCGCCCCCTTCTCTTATCCAGTGTGACCGCCAGATGATAAGCAGATTTCACCGAAAAAACACCATCCGCTGTATCAAACCAAATCAGTCTATCCTCCACATTCGCACACGGAAGGGGAATAGCTTTAATATTACGACAGGTGGCAGGGTCAAACCATTGCTCCAATTTTGAGTCACACCAGCGGCCCTCCCCTTGGCAAATAAGCTCCGACACTGGGGGATCCCCTCCCACCGGCAAGATTAGTGGGTTATAACGAATAGGCTCAAACTGATTCTGGGGAACCCAAGTTGAGTACAACATGGAAGCCGCACAACCATTCCCAATTTGCCAACGAAGCCCCATCACTAAGAGATCCCTCCCATGAAGAACACTCTGCCAGCCCCATGAAGGACGCGAGCGAGTCTTCGCATTAAGGAAATGCCCTTGCGGGAAGTATTTCCCTTTGTAAACTTGGGCAAGCAAAGAATGGGGCTCCTGGAGGATTTGCCAGCCAATCTTAGCCAAGAGGGCTTGGTTAAACTGCTCAAACCGTAGGAATCCCATTCCCCCCTCATGTTTGCTCCTGCACATGTCCCGCCAAGCAACCCACCTGATTCTCGAATGATTATTATCATCCCCCCACCAGAATTGGGCAACATGCCTATCAAGAAGGCGACAGAGAGCCAGAGGCAGCTTGAAACAGGACATCACATGCAAGGGCAACGCCATGGCTACCGACTTGATCAGAGTCTCTTTAGCCGCCCACGATAGAGTTCTCCTTTTCCACCCCTGCAATCTTTCCAAAAGTTTCTCCTCTAAGTACCGGAAGGTTTCCATTTTTGATCTGGCTATAAGGGAAGGTAGTCCCAGATATTTATCGTGCACCCCAACCGCTCCTACTCCCAAAACAGCTGCCAGGAATTCTTGATCCGATACCAAGATATTGCAACTGAAGCACACCGCAGACTTTCCCAAGTTCACTCTTTGGCCACTTAACTCTTCATATTCATTTAAGACTTCAATTAGATTCTCACATTCTCGGAGCGATCCACGCAGGAATAAATATGAGTCATCTGCGAAGAATAAATGCGAGATCCTCGGAGCTCGAGGAGCCACCTTGATCCCTGCCAGTTTCTTGTCCGAGATAGCCTTCTTGAGGAGAGCCGCAAATCCCTCTGTGCAAAGCACAAATAATAGGGGTGAGAGGGGGTCACCCTGCCGCAATCCCCTCGTTGGAGTGAAATAGCCATACGGAGTACCATTCATCATCACCGAAAAAGATGTAGACCGAAGACACTCGTGGATCCAGCCCCTCCAGACAGAATTAAACCCCATCTTTTCCAAAACCGTGAGGAGGAAAGTCCATTCGACTTTATCATAGGCCTTTTCCATGTCAACCTTTAGAGCCATG